TGAAGAAGAGGCGTCGTCCCTGCCTATTAGGGTTTCATGGAGCTCTTTCCTTTTCTGCCTCAGTCAGGGTGGGGTCTTGGGTATCTCACCGAAATGCTGCTTCAGTCCCTATACAAGGAAAAGAAGATACAAACTTATTATTTAAATCATATATCTATTAATTTCTATTATTGATTTGCCTATTAAGTGAGTAAAGGGAAACAGGCTTGGTTAATATGTTTCTTAAAGAGTAAAAAGACCTTTGGCCTAAAATCCCCTTCCCTCTGGGACTCTAAAGGCCCGGCCTGGCTTATCACCATTTCTGCTTAACAATGGGCTGATAACCCTTATCAATAGCCAGAGGATCTGATTCCCCAGGGCAATTATCAGGATTTGAGGGAAAGGGCTTTTTTCCAAAGAAAAGAGGTAAGAAAACTAGGTTTACTAAAAAGATTAACTCTGCAAGAGATGTCCCATTTCATTTCCTGCTAAAAGATTAAGAATTTTACAAGTGATGTCCCCATCTCACTTGCAGCCCCCATCCAAAACTCCCCCTCCCCATCCTGAGTCATGAGGTGCATGTAGAACCTCAGACAAAGGAATCACATGCTCCTTGCATGGACACTGCAGAGGTATATAAGCTGTAAGAAATCTAACCAAGGGGAGCTCAGTGCTTTGGTGCTGTTAAGCCTCACGTGCTCTGCTGGCAAGAAATTCTCTTTCCTCTAACATAGTTGTCTGAGAGTCCAAATTCCTCCATCAGGTGTTGCTTCCTGCAACACTTCAAAGGGGCGTCTAGGGTTTCAGTCTACTTCCATCTCACCCAGAAGGCCAGAATCCCTTCTGGTTTTTACAATCAGAGTTATTAGAATCTCTTCTTCCCTGGGCTGGGACCCTGGGCTGGGGAGCCCCTAGATGAGACCAGGACCTCTTCTCCTTCAGGAGAGACTCTGCAGCCTCGCTTTCCCTCCCAGTGTTCCTCTACTACCCACAGGTGTGGGTGCAGCCTGATTCGCAACTTTGCCCCTCCTACCACCTTTGATGTGGCTTCTTTATATTATCAGATGTAGGTTTTAAAATCAGCTAGACTTCGGGTGAGTCTCCACATTGATTATTTTATAAATTGGTTGTAATTTCAATGTGGACCTAGGAGGAGACGAACCCTGCTTTTACCTAAACTGCCATCTTCCTGGCCCCTTCACTTTTAATGCTTAGGCATTTCTATATAAGAATAGGAATTTCAGTCTCTTTTTTTATAAGTGAAGAAACCAAGGCCTGAGCTCATACAGTGGAAAAGCTGTATTTCATATTTACTTACCCATTATGGGCTAGGTCAGACTAGTCCATAACTTCTACAATTTCCCTTCCTTCCAGGACCTCAATGACATTTGAATCTTGCTTCTAAAAATCATTCCTTTCCAACTAGCCAGTAAACGAGAATTGAACCAATATTTCTTTAAATCACCAACCTCAAAATTTGGAAAATATGTTCAGCATAGTTAAGTATATCTTATATTGTATTTATGTGAAATTATAGCAAAAATGATCAAGTGCAGCCTTAATTGATTTTGCCCTCTCAGGCAGCACGATTTTCTCATATAACTACCCCTTTCATGCATAATTTTGGTATTGTTTGAAAATACATTGGACTTAGAATGCATGTATTATAAAAGCAAAAGGACCTGGTAAATCAGACATTGTGTCCTGTTGTGGTAGCAACAAGCTTGTGTTTGAAAAAACTGGCTTTAAGGGTGTTTGATATCTCAACAACTAAGTCAGGATTGCACTTGACTTGTATTCACCAGGAGGAAATGAAGGAGCCAACTAAGCTATGGTATAGTTGGCATCTGGTTATATGAAGAAATAAAGAAATGATGGGCTTACATCAGGAAGTTGTGAGAATGTAATCATAGCGTCTTAGTAGTATATTAGGAATTTCTGCCAAGATAAATGAATAGAAATGGATGATGATTGCACTCCATACTATATGTATAATAACCTGAGATTCTTCATACAAATTAATACCTTTCCTGTTAATTCATTCACACCTTCTTTCAATAATAATTATTGAGTAACTATTATGTGCCAGACTAAGGATACAACTCTAAGTCTTCATGGAGCTTACTGTTTAGAATACAATAGATAGTATCCCTTTGTAAAGTCAAAGAGCAGCGATCATGTTTCTTATATCACTGTATTAGTTTGCTAGGTCTGCCATAACAAAATACCACAGACTGGGTGGCTTAAACAACAAATTTATTTTCTCACAGTTCTGAAAGGTAGACATTCAAGACCAAGATGTTGGCAAGTTGATTTCTTCTGAGACCTTTGTCCTTGGCTTGTAGGTGTCCATTTTCTGTGTCTTCACATGATCTTTCCTCTGTATGTGCATCCTGGTATCTCTTTGTATGTCCAAATTTTTTTCTTATGAGGACACCAGTCAAATTGGATTAGGGCCCACCCTAACAACCTCATTTGAACATAACTATCTCTTCAAAATATCGCCACATTCTGAGGTATTTGGGGTTAGGGCTTCAGCATATGAGTTTTGGAGGGAGGATATATTTCAGCCCATAGCAGTCACCCAGTGTGAATAATCAGCTGTGGAACTTGTTAGTTTTGCCTGTGTAATAATACTGTTTTTTTCCCCTAGTACTACGAAGTATTCCTTTAACAGTCTCCAGTGGAGCCCTGCCTTCTGTTTCATGAAGGTGGACACTGGCGTGAGCTCACAGTCCACACCAATAGCCAAGGGCATACAATGGCCATCATCACTTTCCATCCCTGGGAATTAAGGCAGGTGAGATTCACAGGATAATAAGGGATAGCTTCTGTAGTAGCCCTTACTGTTACAATCCCGCATTTGGTTTTTGGGAGTTTCAGGGCAGATAGAAGAAACTACACATCCACAGAATATCTGTGTGGGTCAGGCAGAGGGGTTAGGGTGAGGAGAAGGAGATGGCAAGGATACTCTTTAACCATGCTGCTGGCACAATCAAACCCCTGAGACTGAGGCAAGGTTACCAAGTTAAGTATCATGTGAGGACCCCTAAGTATTTTCACAAGAACTTTGCCCATGGAAGTTAGTATATACTCTATTGAATCCAGAAACTAATTCAGTAGAGACTAGATTATAGTCAGAACTTCATAACCCAAATAATACTTTACATTTGTAATGTACTTAGAGCTTTCAAACATTCCTATATTAAAACATTCCTGTACTTATGTGATTATCTCAACCAACTTATAAAGTAGGTGGGAGGAAACATGTTGTCACCTTCATTTCACAGATGGGCAAATGGAGGCATAGAAATGCCCAAGGTTAAAAAGCCAGAAAATAGCCAAGCTGGGGCTTGACCTCAGGTCACTGATTCCTGGCCTTTTAACTCTATAGCTCCAACATAATTTATTGTGATATATCTTGTGTCAAGCTAATGGTTAGGCTCTCTGTAGTGCTGCAAGAACTTTAAAATGTTCTGAACTCAAAAAAAGGATTTATTTACTATGCTCATTTTCTTCATAGCACTTTTCTTTCTCCTGGCACTCATGTCCTCTGAAGTGGTGTTTGGGTGGGTGGTTGGGATGTTTGAAGTGGAGAAGTATGAAGGGAATTGAAAGGTTACTGCTTCTTCGTGATGGGACAAAAGCTTAGTTTAGCTCCAGTTTACAACAAGAACAATTCACACTTTCTCTAGAGAACTATTAAAGGGGCTCAGACTGGGGAAAGTGTGTGTTTATTACACAGGATTTGTCAAAAGCTGTTAACTAAAGCAGTGTTTCTACCGAGATGTGAAAATAGCTTATGTTTTTGTCCTACAGAACATTGCTTTATATTGTTATTTATAATAGGATTTGAGAAATGTGCCCTCTTGTCTGACTACTGCAGGGCAGATCTAGGAGAGAAAGTTTGTCAGAGATGAGTCTGCTTGACTCCCGATTTTGTGATCTGGGCAAGAGGAACTCTGTTCAGGAGACTGTAAAGGAGTTTTTCACCAAAGGGCCAGGAGCATTCTGTGACTTGACATCACTTTACTTCCAAGAAAGGTAAACCTGGGACAGCCAAACAGCAAGCAGAATACTGATGGCTTGCCATAATCTTAGTTATGGATTGCTGAGGCAAGGCTGCTGATCACAGAGGGTCTGGGCTAAGTGGTACTGGCCCTTGTACACCAGCCAGGCCTGGGAACCCAGGCCAGACTGCAGACGAGAGTGTTTGCATGTACCTCCATCTCTTGAAAGGGGAACTTCTCCAGAGCTTTCACGGCCATGCTATGGAGGGTGTGTCTCCTAGCCGAGATGCTGGGGCCTCCTCCTTCAGCCAACCACTAGAGATAGATGCTTTCTTCTTTTATTCTTTTCCAGCACCATGACCTGTTGCAGTCATCAGCAGTCCCTCTACCAGCTCCTATTTGGGGAACCCCACATATTTGAAGATCTCCTTACATCAGCAGTCTCCCTACATCAGCTTGAAGATCTATATCTCTCTAGATGCCTTTTTCCAAGTTAACACTGCTGGTACAGAGATGCTGTATCAGACCATGGGGGATCTGAGTAGAGTGAACTCTAACAGCATCCTCTTTGACATCTGCTGTGAAACTGGAAAGTGGCCACCCAGGGCACAATCTGTATGCTGCTTAGCTCCCAAACCCTGTCCACCCAGCACCCATGGTCCTTGCAGCCAATGTTGGAAGGTGATGGTAGTGGTGTAGGCATAACCTCATTGATTTAAAGCCCTAAAATACCCTCCTATTATTCTCTGTTACTTCCCCAAGTATGACCGGCCTCTCTCTGGCTCAGTATACCTCTCAAGTCCTTGAGACTGAGCTGGTGGAGCAGGCAGAAGAGAATGCCAGGTACACTGCTCACAGTCTGGGGAAAATTAAGAGCTGCAGTTATTTCTGTGCTATGGAAAGAGTTGTATGGGAAAGGGCATCTACTGTATCCATGACCTATAGGGAGGGAGGGAGGATGTTCTAGAGTGGTCAGCGTTGGGTCCTGATAGTTTTCTGAAAGAGATCCCAATAACGTATCTTTTTTTTCTATCCAGAAGCAGAGGCTGAGGGAAGGAACAAGCCTAGCTAATAGGAAAGAAACTTGGCAAAACTTTAGATAATATAGAAGAGCCTTCTTGACATTAGACTCATGAGACATCATAACATAATATAATGAGTTTCAAACTATTTTTAGCAACAGAACCTTTTCTTTGAACACAATCTTATGCCAAACTGCAGTGTAGAAAGCTGATCCCCTTGTCCCTTCTATCTCACCTCCACACAACTCTTGAGGCTCTGTGTGAAAACCTTCAGTATAGGAAAAAGAGCACTTGAGTAAAAGTCAAGTTTCTCTTCTCGGTGCAGGTACTTATGTGCTGTGTAAGTCACAGAGTTGTAAAATAACACTGTCTAGTTTCTCAAGCTGAAAGACCTACTGAGATATTGCAAGAGAAAGCAGGTTGGGAAAAATGAAGCAAGTCCAAAAGCATTTTTTTTCATCGTTATGTAAAGGTATGCTAGATCCAAAGGAAAATGGCAGAGCTCTGGCTCCTGTACATTTCTATAAAGCTGAAGCTCCCTGTGCCCACTGTTGGGCTTGGATTTTGAGTTATGTCAAAACTTAAATGGGCCTCTTTTCTGCAGGCATCACCAACTGTGAATTCCATGCTGGCTAAGCAGGGAAGATTTTGCCACAGCTGCTAAAGTCAGAGGGAGATGGGCAGTTAATTGTTGCTGTGGTGAACCCAGCCCAGGCAGGACTGCATAAGGATGAATAGCTTAGCTTTCCTGCTACAGAACTAGTTGGGTGTTCCTATGATGTCTACCAGCTTTAGTTCCTCATTCCTACACCATGCCAAGAGTGTTCCCATTGGCTGTCTCTGAACCTGCTTCTCCTCTGTTCCTCACCAATCCTAGGTGCTGGCCAGTTTGGAGGTTGTGATAACCTGGACCATGTTAGTTTAATTATATCAATAGCATCATCTTTCTTCCTTCAGATTACCAGGTGGTTCAGGCCATTCGAAACAGCAGGGCCATCCGCACGCTAGTGTTTTTTTTTGTTTGTTTTTTGTTTTTTTTCCTGTAAGCCCCATGGTGAAAACACAAGGAACATCACTGAGTGAGTCTTGACTTCTTTTTTAAATTTTTTTTTTCTGATAATCAAAGTAATCCACACTTATTGTGCAGACTTTGGAAAATGCAGAGAAATGTAAAGAAGCAGAAAAAAAGGCATTATACTGCTACCAAGAGTCAATTACAGGGCTGGGTCTCAGGTGAGGCAAGTAAAGCAACTCACTTCAGATATAAAATTTAAGGGGTGCTTCAAATCTTAGTAATCAAGGTATATTTTTATGCAGTATTTTCAGAAATCAAAATTAGTATGAAGATCCATGATAAACAAAATAGTAAGATTTTTAGAAAGATGAGATCTACTCTTGTACTTGGTAAACCCTGCTTCATTCACCTTACCCTAATCCTGGCCCTGGTTTCAATAAAATTTTATTTATAAAAGTAGGAAGCCAGCCTGTAGTTTTCCAATTCGATTTTCCAAAATATTGCATCAAAATATTATTCATCATGATTACTGAGTTTTTTGGCACCCTCTTAAATTTTCCACCTGCGATGAATGCTTCTTGCTTCACTTCAGTTCTAGTCTTGGTCAATTATTTTGATTTTTGAAATGTTGTTTTCTTCTTGCAGTACCTCTCTCTCTCACCTCCCTCTTATTATTTTTATATCAGTAATACAATTTATTTGCAATAGTCAAGCCACATAGGTGGATATAACGTATAGATGATATGCCTAGATAAAACAAGTGAGATTTAAAAGTAAATGACTTGAGCTTTCAAGTCAACAAGCTAGAAAAAGAACAATAAATCTAAGGAAACTTAAGGTAGAAATCAGTAGCATTAAAAAAATCCAGACAGTTATGAACGAAGCAAAAAAACCATAGACTTGACAAATGAACAAGAAGGTGTTATTGGAAGAAAATAAAATAGATAAATAAACCTAATCAAGAATAGAAAGGAATAGAATGAAGAAAATTATGAAGTCTTAAATGAGAAAAAGAGCATAACTACAAATATGAAGACAATATTTTATTTATTTAATTTTATTGGGGTGACATTGATTAATAAAATCATATAGTTTTCAAGTGTACAATTCAATAATACATCATATCTATATTACATTGTGTGTTCACCACCCAAAGTTAAATTTCCTTTCGTCACCAGATATTTGACCCTGTACCCTTATCTACTTCCCCTACTTCCCTCTGGTAACCACTAAACTGTTGTCAGTGTCCATGAGTCTGTTTCTTTTGGTATGGTTCTCAACTTTTTCTGTCTGACTTATTTTAAAAATGGTAAGGAAGTACACTGTACACCTCCCTTGCAAAACATTTGAAGACCTAGATGGGCAATTTTCTGGGAAAATGCAAATGGCTAATATTAATTCTCAAAGGTATAGTAAACCTAAATAAAGCAGTAACCATAGAAAAAAAATGAGAGTTGTCAAAGAGCTTCTTCTACCCAAAATAATAGTGTGAGGCCCATTTGTTTTCAGAATCTTATTTCCTTGTCTATTCTTGCATATTTACTCTTCCATTTGTACTTTATTTTATTTTTATTATACTGTTTAAAAATGTTTTTGAATATATGATAAAGGTGACACCTCAGATCAATGGGAAAAGATGGACTATTCAATAAATGGTTGTGGACAACTCATTAGCCATGGTGAAAAAAAAAAGTTGGATCTGTATCTCACACAGTATGCTAGGATATATTATAAAGGAGTCAGAGACGTAAACATAAAGGAAAACCATTCATGTACCCTAGGAAATCATAGAATTTCTTTATAATCTTAGAGTGTGGAAGCCCTTTTTAACTATGAAAATTCAGAAGCCATATAATAAAAAAAGGTGGTTAAATTTGGTTATATAAAAAATAACTTCTCCCTTCATTACACCATGCACAGAAGTGAATTCAGAATGGATCATAGAACTAAATGTAAGAGATTAAAACATAGGAGTAAATCATTTTCACCTTGAGTTAGGCAAAGCTTTCTTAGATATGACAAAAAAAAAAAACAGAACAAAACCCAACAACAACAAATAAAAATAAATAAATAAATTATGTGTGTAACTGGACATCATCAAAGTTTAAAAATGTTTTTGTGCTCAAATGATACCATCAAGAATGTGAAAAGACAAAATAGGAGAAAATAATTACAAATCATTTATCTGAGAAGAGACTGGTATCCAGGAGCCAGGTACAAAAGGCCATATAATTGTATGATTCCACTCATAGGAAATGTCCAGAGTAGGAAAATCTCTAGAGACAGAAAGTAGATTTGTGGTTACCTAGGGCTGAGGATGAGGGGTTGGGGAGAAATGGGGTATATAATATCTTCTTAAGTTAGCGAAAAATATTCTAAGTTTGATTGCTATGAATGATGCACAACTCTGTGAATGTACTAAAAACGAATGAACTATATCAATGGGTGAGCTGTATGATATGTGAAATATATTTCAATAAAACAGTTTAAAAACTCAATAACTTGCTTGATAAAAAGCACTAAAAGCAAAGATAGGAGACAACATAAAAAGTGGAAAAAAATGTTCAGTTCATATCACAAATCCTTTTTTCCTTAACTTATAACAGACTCCTGGAAATCAATAAGAAAAAAGAACAACAGCCCAAAAGAAAAATGAATAGAAGAGATGAAAAGAAAATATAAATATGTTTATGGACCATGAAAGGATGTTCAGTCTATTCCACTATAATGAAAATACAAATTAAAAGTACCCTGAGTTACCACTTTTTACATGTCAGATTGGCAAAAAGTTCAAAAGTTTGATAATGCACCATTAGCAGTACTGTAGAGAAACATGAATTCTAAAAACTCATTGCTTAGAGTGTAAATTGGTACTATCCCTATGGAGGGAAATTTAGCAATACAGATTAAAATTATAAATCTGTATATACCCTTTGACTCAGTAATTCCATTACTGAGGCTTTATCCTACAAATAGACTGACACACATGTAAAATAACCTATATACAAAGTTATTTATTGCAATATTATAAGAGCAGACAATGAAATATCCGAAAAGTCCATTAGTGGAGAACTGGTTAGATCAACTGTGCTGCTATAAAAAAGAATGAAGATAGTCTGTATGTACCGATATGGAACTATCTCTAAGGTATATTATTTTTTAATAACAGCTTTATTGAGATATAATTCACATATCACAAATTCATCCATTTAAAGTGTATAGTTCAATGGTTTTTGGTATGTTCTCAGACTTGTGTAGCCATCACCCCATTTGATTCCGGAACTTTTTCATCACTTCGAAAAGAAACTGCACTGCTCACCAGTTACTCCCCAATTTTCTCCAACCTCTTGGCCCTAGGCAACCACTAATCTGCTCTCTGTCTCTATGGATTTACCTATTTATGACTATTTCATACAAATGAAGTTATAAAATATATGGTTCTTCGCATTTGGCTTCTTTCAGATAGCATGTTATTTGCAAAGTTCATCCATGCTGTAGCACATATCCGTACTTCATTCCTTTTATGGATGAGTAATATTCCGTTATATGGATATACCACATTTTATTCACTCATCAATTGATGGACATTTGGGTTGTTTTTGCCTTTTGGCTCTTATGAATAATACTGCTTTGAACATTTGTGTGCAAGCTTTTTATTTCATGTGTTTTCATTTTTCTTGGGTGGAATTGCTGGGTCATATGATAAATCTATATTAACCTTTTGAGGAACTGCCAGACTTTTTTCCAAAGCTGCCGTCCCGTTTTACATTCCCACTAGCACTGTATGAGGGTTCCAATTCCTACCCATCCTCACAACTCTTGTTATTTTCTGTCTTTTTTTATTATATCCATCCTAGTGGGTGAGAAGTGGTATCTCCTTGTGGTTTTCATTTGCATTTCCCTTGTTTTAATTTTCATATGTTTATTGACCATTTGTATATCTTCTTTGGAGAAATGTTTATTCAGATCCTTTGCCCATTTTTTAATTGGGTTGTCTCTTTAGTATTGAGTTTTAAGATTTATTTATATATTCTATTATAAGTCCCTTATCAGATACATAGTTTGCAAAAACTTTCTTCCATTCTGTGGGTTCTCTGTTCACTTTCTTAATGGTGTCCTTTGAACCTCGAGTACTTAATTTTGAATGTGTCCAGACTATATTTTCTCCTATGGCTTGCAATTTTGGTTCTAAGGTATTTTACTAAGTAGAAATAGCAAGATGTGCAGAATTGTTTATATAATAGAAACTATCTTTATAAAAAGGGACAAAGGACAAGGGGCAGAGTATAGATTTGTATTTGCTTGTATATGCACAGAGAAACTGGTAAGTTATATAAGAAACTGATAATTGTTATCTACTCTAGGAGAGAACTGCTGAGATGGGAGTTATGGAAAAGAGACTTCACTACATACCTTTTCATGTTTTATTTTTGGATAAAATGAAAATATTCATTGTGAAAAGCAAGTTTTAAAATGCAATGATTAAGAGTAAAGCTAAGATTCTGCTAACACTCATGCTGAGTAAAACAATAAATGTGGTCTCAAAAAAGCAAGAAATATTTTGAAAAAAAGAAACAGTATATGCATATGGTAGAAAAAAAAGCAAACAATACAAAAGAGTCTGCAGTGAAAAATTAGTCTCTTTTTCACTCCAGACCTCTAATCCTTCAGATGTCACTACTCTTACCAGTTTCTTTTGTGGCCTATCAAAGATGTTCTGTGACTATACGTGTGTATATATGTACATGTATGTGTACATACCATCCCTCTCTTTTTTTTTAACAAATAGAAACAGATTAGAAACACTGTTCTGCACCCTGCTTTTCACTTAACAATAGATTTTGGAGAGGAGATTTTTCTACAATAATGTAGAATTTGCATCAAGACTTATAAGCCTACTTCATTTTTTAAGCAGGCTATATATAGTTTTAACTTATATTTGCACGTTAATTAACTGGTCCCTTGCTAATGAATTTTAAGGTTGTTTCTACTCTGGTTACCACAGTGTTACAATGAATATCCTTGTATATATACCTTTGCATATATGTGCAATGTTATGTATATGTGATGAATAAGTATATGTGATAGTATGTGTGTGTGTGTATATATATGTATGTATGTATGTATGTATGTATGTATGTATGTATGTGTATATATGTGTGTATATATATATATTAAATAAATCCCCGATATGGAATCACTGGATTAAAGGATATATGCTTTTAACATTTTCATGTGTTTTCTAACAGAGCTCTAGAATCAACTTACCAAAAATGTCCTTTTGGGATTATAATTGGAAATGCAGTGAATTTATTAATTAATTTAGGAAGACTGGAACTCTTTACAGTATTTTTTCTGTCCAGGTATATGGTATGTCTTTTCAGTTACTGTGGAAGTATGTAATTCTCTAAAGCTATATATATATATAAAAATTTTTTTCCAATATAGATCTTTGTTATTAAGGTTAATATAAGATATTATAAAGTTTTTATTGCTATTATGAATGGGACCTTTTTAATGACATTTTCTAACTGGTTATTGCCAATTGTATGTCCAGCTACCTTACTCTTTTATTAGTTTTATTCGTTTTCCAGTTGATTCTTTTGCGTTTTCTTGGCATAAAGTTTTTTATACCATAAGCATCACCATATGAAAACAGTTTTGTTTCTTTCCTTCCAATACTTTTTGCTTATTACATGGATAAGAAAATGTTCCATCATAGGAGTAATAGTGAAAATATTGTCTTGTTCCCGACTTTTGTTTTACTTTTTTAAATCAATAGGCTTTATTTTTAGAGCTATCTTAGATTTGCAGAAAAACTAAGCAGAAAGTACAGAGTTCCTGTATATTCTCCCTACTCTGCACATACTTCCCCCATTTTGATATCTTGCATTGGTGTTGTACATTTGACAAAATTATGTAAACCAATATTGATACATTATTATTAACTAAAGTGAAAAGTTTAGAGTTTACTTTTATAAATTAATTGGGGTAACACTGGTTCATAACATAAAAGCAACGAATGAACAAAACAAACTTGTTCCTTATTTCAATGGGACAGTGCTAAACTATGGAGGGTTTGCTGAGGAAATAACTTTTCTGCTCTGTTGGTTTGAGTGTAAATTGCTACAACTTTTTTTTTAGAATAGTTCAGTGGTACATATCTTAGGGCCTTAAAAAACACAGGCCCTTCAACTCATCAGTTCCACTAAATAACTAAAAATGTGTGCAAAGATATAGCTATAAGAAGATTCAAGGAGGGACTTTTCGAAATAGCCAAAAGTTAGAAATAGCTTAAATTTCCAATAGCAAGGAATTAGATAACTAAACTGTGTTCAGTTTACTTAATGAAATACCATATAGACAATAAAATTGAGGTAGCTTTGCATATAATATAGCGGAGAGATGCTCGTGATATATTATTAACTGAAGAAACTCGTCATAAAGCAGTATGTACAGTGTATACAGTGTGACTCCATTTTAAGAAACCAATTTAAATATACGTATTTGGAAATATACATTCTGAAAAGTTAGCAGCGGTTATCCTCTGGTGAATTTCTAGGTGAATTGTCGTTTTCATTTTTGCTTGACTGCCTTTGAAATAAGGAGAAAATTAATCTACTTTGAAAATGTTTAATAGAATAATTCAATTCAGTAGTTTTTATTAATTACCTACTTTGTGCTAATCATACAGAAACATATATGACCTGGGCTTCTCGCTCTATTCACCACTAAACCCCTACTGTGTGTCACACACTGGGAATATAGAGATGAATAATAAGTATATTTTGCCTTATTTCTACCCTCCAAAAGATTATACTCCAGTGAGGAAGGTGGTTTAAAAGAAAAGGTAGCTACCTTAAATATGATAAATGCTGTTACAGAGAGAAACACGGGGCTGCGAGAACAGGGAATCAGGGCTTGAAGTTTAAGAAGTTGTGTGGCTAGAAGGTCTCGGTTTCTAGGAACTGGTATGATGTGTTTCTATAGGTTGTATTGTCCTCCAAACTCTCCTAAGAAGCCCCTCAGTGAGCCTTTCCTCCTGAGACAAGCTTTGCCTATGCATCTATTCCCCCATAGCCCAAACTGTGTGCTGGAGCTCCTCTTAACTCGATAAGCAGCCCTCTACAAGATGGCAGTCTCTTTGTTAAGGCTGAAGTTTCAGCTACTTCCAGGTTTGACTTGTTGCTACATTGCAGACCATGAGGGCATTACTGGGGAAACCACTCTATGGACTGCAAGCAGGAAGAATATAGCAGGCCTCTCATCTGAGACAGATTTATAACCCTAGTTTTTAGGTTCTCTTGCTTTCATCTGTATTTGTCTGGTTGCGACCACTTCTTGGTCCTGGACGTGGACTTTTCCTTCCTTTTGTTGTCAGCCTGTCATTGGCTCCTTTGGTCCTAGTTTATAGGCTTGTCTCTGTCTAACTCTGCCTGTGGTGTGGTGACAACTGAGCTTTTCTCAGCAGCTGGTAATAAGTTCACAGTGACTCAGGTCTCTGTATTTGCCCAGAGATTTTATTAGATATGTTCTGCTTTCATGAGGTAGCCAAGGATTAGAACTAGAAACAAGTCTAGCTTTTTTTAAAAACTGGAGTAAACTGTGGAGTGATTGCAGGGTGACTGCGTGAACTCAGTAGACCTTCGTTCCTTTGGGTTTTCTCAGATTTCTGGGTTCTAGAACACCCTTTAAAAATGCAGTTATCCCTAAGAGCAATAGCACCAATTAGCTCTCACCTGTGGAGGGAGAATTGGTTGTAGTAGAAACCCTATGGGAAAGAAGATATTCAAAGAAGAGACTGAATACCTATAATTGTGCTGTGTAGTATGGAGGCAGAGAGCTCCAGAATCCCCTAATGATCCAGTATATACTATAATAAACTGGCTATTGAAACTGATATTCTATAGTCCATGATTTCTTCAACTCTGAAATTGTTCTTGGATACTTGCCCAACAAGTTAGATTATGTTTTGAATCTTTTAACAGCCTAGGGATGTGTAACTTAGCAAGTATTGTCTGATTGACAAAACGATATCAGGTCAACTATTTTTAATTCTTATCAATTTTTAATTCTTATCAATCCTCAATACTTCTAGAGAAGGCGCCATCTCAGAAAAATATGTCTATTAAAGCTACTATGTAAATATCCATTTAAAAATACTAGGAGATAATCTAAAATGATAAGAAGTGTTGATTTATGGTAGTCATGTAAGTTTTATTTACATTTCCCTATATTTCATTTTATGTAATGGGGTTATAGTAAAACTTTATATTAAAATTTAAATGTAAAGTGTAAATGTAAAGTGACTTTTATTTTCTCCCCTTTTGTTCCCCATATCTGTAAATGTTAATCCCATCTATAACTTGTCAAAGCTGGAAACAGAGTTATCTTTCTCATTCTTGTATCCAGCTGCCTACAAGGTAGATTCCACCTGGATATATTCTAGGTACTTCAAACTCAACATATCTCATGTCGAATGCTTCACATCTTTCCCCCAAACCTATTCTTGCTCCTATATTCCCAATCTTGATGAATATACCAATCGATCACTCAAGGCAGAAGCCTGGGGATTCTGAGTCCCTCTTCTCTACCCCTCCCCCATCCAGTGTGTCACTGAGTCCCCATCTCTGCAGGTGACCATCATCTCTCACTGAATTATTACTGAAAGGGCCATCTTTCCAATTGCTGCTGCATCTCCTCCTGTCTCCATCCATTTTGTTCTCTATAGTCAGAGTGTTTTCTAAAATGCCAAACTACTGGTCATCTGTATTTCCTCTTTGGCAAAATACCTGTTCAGGTCTTCTGCCCATTTTTTAATTAGATTGCTTGTTTTTGGTTGTTGTTGTTGAGTTGTATGAGTTCTTTATGTATTTTGGAGATTAACTTCTTATCAGATATATCATAAGCAAATATCTTCTCCCACTCAGTTGATTATCTTTTTGTTCTTGATGCAGCCTCAAACCCTCCCATAATCTGGGCAACCTCATTTCCATATACACATTGAATTCCTTTCCCTGAAAAAGATAATTTTTTTTTTCCATTCTGGTCCTTTTCATGTTTGGTTTCTTCAGCGTCTAATGTGCTTTTCCTTACCTCTTCTGGCTAACTCTACTCATCTTTCTGTTTTTAACTTAGTTATACCCCAAGGAATAGCTACAGAATAAATGTTGGATTGGCTGTAGATAATCAACTTCCTGATAATTTTGTTAGCGTTATATCTTGTCAGATAGTTTTAGAAACATGCTTCTGTCATTTCTTTTGGCTGTTGACAGTGACATTTTATTATGCATATTTCCATTTGAATTATTAAACTATTAGCTAGTTGATACAGACAAGCTTTCTAAGTATTCTTTGCTTTTCTCTATTTTTAAAAATGAAACAACACACTTAGAAACTCATTCAAAATCCAAACAGTATTAAATTACTCTTATAGGCTGTCAGAAAACTTTATGTCAAATTATAATGTTACATAATGGTATAAACCAATGTTACCTCAATTAAAAAAAGAAAGCAATTTACTATAAAAAAAGAAAATCTCACTTTGGACTAATTTGAATGCTATCTGGCAATGTATGCTATATGTCTTTATTCTCAGTTTTCAAACAGAAACTCTTTTATTTTGCTTCCGTCATTTTTATTATGAAATCTTTCAAACATACAAGAAAGTTGAAAGAATAGTACAATGAACACCAGTGTATCCACCACCAAAGTTCAACAAATGTTAACATTTTGCCGTATTTGCTTTATTTATGTGTGTATCTATTCTTTGATAAGCCATTTGAAAGTAAGTTCTAGACCAGCAGTCCCCAACCTTTTTGGCACCAGGGACTGGTGCTCCTATGAGAATCTAATGCCTCATGATCTGAGGTGGAGCTGAGGCAATGATGCTAGCGCTGGGGAGCGGCTACAAATACAGATGCTCACCTCCTGCTGTGCAGCCCCCTGACCTAGACATCATAACACTTCACCTTTAAATACCACAGCATACATCTTCTAAGCATAAGGACATTTTCCTACATAACCATAATACCATAAACCCAGTTAAAAATTAACAGTACCTCACTGATCTTCACGAATATTATCTAATATCTAATCCTGTGCTTCCTGAAGTGTGGTCTGCAGACTGCTTGATGGTTCACAGGGAGATAGAGAGCTTGCATTAGTGTGTATCCGTGTGCTATATCCTTCATCGAGAAAGTCTTATTACCACAAAAATGTCAGGTGAATTAAGTGGTGTGCTTAGTGATAGTGACAAAATTCATATAGAGTAGCACTGCTCTATATTCAGATTTCCCCAGCTGTCCCCTACATATCTTTTATGGCTAGTTCACATGCTGCATTTGGGTGTGGTATCTCTTTAGTCTTTTGTTTATTCATTTCTTTACTTTTTACTTATAGTTGACATTATATTAGTGTCAGGTGTACAACATAGTGATTAGACATTTATATACCTTATGAAGTGATCACCCCGATTAGTCAGTTTAGCACCCACCTGGCACTACACACAGTATTACAATATTACTGACTATATTCGTGTGCTGTACTTTGCATCCCCATGACTACTTTTATAACTGGCAGTTTGTAGTAATGTTTCTTATTTAAATTCAGTATTTTACATTCAGTTTAGTCATTTGCTTTGTAATGCTCAAATTTTCTCCACTTTGGCCAGTTTGGAGACCCTTCAGGCTGGCTGTCATGTCCATTTGACAGACCTCCATAAGTCTTTGAGCACTTTCTTGGATTCTGGCACAAGATTCCTAGGCTTCCCCTTATACTTCTGTGCTCCAGTCCTGGAGTTAGTTATTTCCAAGGAGCCCTGGTTCCTTTTAATGGAGAACGGTATTTAAAAACTGAGATGCAGTTGCTGGATGTTAGATGCAAAATCTAATAGTACCGTATTCAAGTCTGTGAGCTGTAAAACTAGTACAGTGACCAACTGTCCTGATTTACTCTGAACTTGGGACTTTGCTAAAACTGGGAGCGTCCTAGGCAAACCTGGAAAAAAGCTGGTCACCCTAAATTAGTCACATTGCTAATATATAGTAATGATTAAGGAAGAACAGTAGAAATTGGGGCTGGGACGTGTGGACCAGTCATAGCTGAAGTAGCTGTAAATTCCCAGATTTAAGAGTTTGCACAAAATGTTCTCTTCCAGCTGTGAAATATCTAGTTCTAGGGCAGGGGATCACAAACTTCACTGCTCATTAGTATCTCCTGGAAAGTGATTTAAAAATACTGGTCCCTGGGCCCTGGACATTCCAATTTAACTGGTTTAGAGAGGGTCTCAGGCATCAGTATTTTAAAAATGTCCCCCAGTGATTCTCACCTACAGCCAAGGTTGGCAATCAGTGGTCTAGGTGGTCCCTGTACCAGCAGCATTGGCATCACCTAGGTGCTTGTTAGAAATACATACTTTCAGGCTCCACCTCAACTGGATCAGAAACTCTAGCAGTGGGGTCCTGCAGTCTGTTTTAACATGCTCTCCTAGCGATTCTGATGCCCAGTCAAGTTTGAAAACCACTGGTTTAGAGCAACTGTTCTCAGCCTTCGTTGCTCATTAGAATCACCTGGGGAACCTTTTAAAAGAGGTTCCTGGGCATCATCCCCTTAGAGATTTTGATTTAATTCATTTTGGATGTGGCCCTAGCATCACTATTTTGAAAGCTCCCCATATGACTCAAAGGTGCAGGTAAGGATGAGAGCACATGTCTCCAAATCCACTGTTAGGCTTGATGAGTAAAAGTGCACAATTCAATTACAGATAAAAACTAACTTAGTTGGGTAATACTCCAAATATAGGTATACCCCGTTTTATTGTGCCTTGATTTATTGTGCTTCACGTATTGTGTTTTTCACAAATTGGAGGCAAAATCCTCTACCAGCAAATAGATTATGACTTGCTTTATAGTGATGGTCTGAAACTGAACCTGCAATATCTCCGAGATTTGCCTGTAGCTTGCTTTTCTGCTTCCTCCTTGTCTGGACTCACCCTGGGTCTCTGAACACTGGTTTGCAGTCCTTTGTAAAGGTTTTCATCTTTTTAAAGCATTCTCATTCCCATTCTTTCTGGTTATTTTGGTGGGTGTGGCAGAGAGTGGAGCTTACCATCAGTTACTAGTAATCTTAGCTAAACCTTAAAATTAACTCTCTGTCACAACAAGAGAAAAGTGAAGGCATTTTAATATAAAGCAAGAGAGTCATTTTAAGGGTTTGTCCTAGGCTTGCTTCCTACCTGTCTTCCAGAACTCACTTCTCATTAGGTTCGTCTTAAAGTTGCTGGACTTCTGAGTACAGTTTTTGCTATTGCCTTTATTGCAGGTTTGGAGTTTCACCTCTGTGGTTGCCAGTCTTGCTGCACATTGGACTTGTCTGGGAGCTTTTTAAAAAAATCCTGGTTCCTAGGGTTTGTGTCCTACCCCCTGGTATTCTGATTTAATTGTCCAAGCATCTGGGTTTTTTTTGTTTTTTGTTTTTTTGTTTGTTTGTTTTGTTCTTTTACGATTTCAAGGTGATCCTAATGCGAAGCCAGGGTTATGATCCTCCAATTAAGGCTGTGTTTCCCCAAACTTGTCTGCACACTAAAATACCCTGAGGATCTTTTAAACCTTCCAAAATCCAGGCCAATTAAATCATCACAATCTCTGGGAGTGGGACGCAGGCGTTGGTAATTCTGAAGTTTCCCTAGTGATTCTAATGTGCACCCAGTGTTGTGCACCACAGGGTTAGGGTATTTGATTATTTTGAGGTTGGAAGGGAGAAGAGAATGATTGTCATCTGAGATTTAAGTCTTCCAACCCTTTACCTTCAAAATCACATTGCCAATTTATATTTACAGGGTCATCATTGTCATTTTTCTAAGAAATATATTTCAAAATGGCATGTCCATAAAGTAGTTATGAACCAGCTGAAGCTCCCTTAGAGCTCACTAATTAATGTAAGTGCAAAAGGATAATTGAAATGGAATATAATTATTATGTCCCAGACTTAAGAGTTTTCCATCAGCTGATTCGATTGCATCATTATATGTATTTCTATGTGATATTTCCCATTGTTTCTCCTTAAAGGAGTGACAATGCTGACATCTAGCCAGAGCCTCACAGTGGAGGGACATATCAATATCCTCAAGTCCATTTCTAACAGTTAGGGATCCTCAGGGTACATGGAGAGGAGAGTTATTTTCTTTGAGGACCTAAAAAGGAATTTAAATATTTAAAGGTGTTGACATTCACTGCTTGCTTTTACCAATCGATCACCTTTACTTTATAACCAAACCAAGGAATACCTGAGAAAAAGAGAGGGCTGTATTATACTTGGCTGTTTACTATTTCTCGTCTCCAATTAGACTATAAGGCTTCAGGGGATAGGAGCTATATCCTGCTCAGTGTTGTATCTCTGTCTAGCACACAGCCCAGTATCTGCAGTGTGGCAGGTGCTCAGAATGGCAATATAGCATACTGGCCAAGAAGACCAGCTTTGGAATCAGGCTGACCTGGACTTGAATCCTGGCTCTTTTACTTACATGCTATGTGACCTAGGGCAAGTTACCTCTCCAACCATCTGTTCCCTGCCCCTCTGTCGGAAGCCAGCCGACCAAGTCAAACCGGGTACCTGAATGGGGGAGCGGGGACTGAGAAAAAAGAGAAGACAGACAGGGTGCAGGAGGGAGAGCAGATCTCACAACTGTCTCTCCGAGTTTATTTCTTATCCTTCTTTTAAACACAATCTGTTCCTTTTGGTCTCCCAAGATAACATGATTAAAGTAACATCCTGAAGATCAAGGTACAATCGGCACTTCCTTTGACACTCCCTTTGACATTCCCTTTATCTATACTTAATCTTCTTCTTCCTGGAATTC